GGGACTGATAGTCGTGGCCGCGAATACCCGGGCAAACCCTCCGGACACGACGGGCACCCATAGGGGCTGATCCACTAATTTGAACCTTCGGTTTATGTGTTCCCTTAACTGATCATAAACTGAGAAAAAACAATTTGATAAATACAGTAGATTCAATGAATCATTGATAATCATATCATATATAATACAGAATTAATATTTTAAATCAAAATTACATATCAAATTACGGTATGAAAATAGTTTTCAATAAAAAAATTAACACAATGTTATACAGTATTTAAATTGAACAGTTTGAAAATACATATCCAGTACATACCCGTGAAATATATAACAGTGGCCGGAATTGCCATAACTCTACACACGAGACAAACAATGCATTCATTATATGGTTCACAAGTCAATGAAATCAAAATCAAATCAATTGAATGCATACAAAGTGGGCGGAAGTCCACTCCAAAGAGAGGCCAGGCCTTCGTTTCGCGTTATTTTGATGAACGCGTCCTAAAAGACAAAGTTCTTTGAGTTGTCGTCAAATCAGATCCAATTGATTGATACGAACCACAGTTCCCGTGAAGTGTCTGTTCCTCTGCAACATGTGGTTGCGATGCATTGTCGCAGAACTCATGCTATGATATGCATGAGTGGCACCACTCTTACCATTAGTGTTGGATGTGTTGGAAGTGTTGACATCATTTGCAGGACAATAGCAGATGTGTTCCATAAGTCCATTGCAATACAAATAGCACTTGTTTTTCATGAACTCCTTCTGCTGCGATTGGATCCTTATCTTCACCACATCTAAAGGGGTCACTGAATGCCAGACAAGACCACAATCAACCGGTGAGACAGTGGTGTGACTGCGAGACACATACCGAAGATGGAAGTAATGAGCGCTCCCGTACACGAAGACATCATCTGCTGGAACGGTGTGATCGATGTATTCATCCGGTGATCGCACCTCTCTTTCGCCGGCAAACAGCTTGTATCTGAAGACATGTCTGGCATGTGACTCATACTCAACATCCTATACCACACTTCACTTCATTGTCCAGAAGTTCACTATAAGTCCAATGAATGGTTGCGTTGATTACGAAAGGGTTCATGAAATGCAGACAACGATTGCAACCATTTCTATACAAAACACACATTGCATCAGATGTTGGGTACAAACACGCGCTCAACACTTCCCACACAAACACTGTATTCCCTATATTTGACAACTCTTTCCCCAATCATTGCATTCAATGTTTCATTTGACAGCCACTCCGGCAATATTTGCAGCAACTCTCGAAACCATGTGTGTTCGCACATGTGATCAGATTGCTGTAGATTACTGTATCTATCAGTCATTGAAGTGTTTTATTATACGAAAAATTGGCATAAAAACAACTCTTAGTCTTATATTATAGAGTAAACAGTTATATAAGCAATTGATTACTCAATGATCGATATTTGTGATACATTTGTGAACAAACATTAGACTAGTCTAAGACTAACAGTAAGTTAGCGTTCATTGACAATACTTGATGACCGGGTAGAATAGTCTAATAGACACTCTAATTGTGGTCCATTATGTAACCTATTACAATTACAATTGCTTCATAATATTATCCTAAAACTTATATATAGCACTTGCTCATAGAGTTACGTCAATTAAACAGATCCTGATACTTTTTAATAAGTTTGCAACAGAATTGATTGATGTTTCTGTTATATTTGACCAAGTAAATCAATATAATTGTTTAGTACCTTTTGTTATATAGTTTACATATAACTTCTATGTATGTATTACTAGTTGTAAAAAGGTTTATTTATAAAAAAATATTTGGTCCATAAACATTTTAAATCAAAGAATTTCATGATATATGACATGAAGTATTGAATTAATTAAAAGCAATTAAAAGTTATAAACAATTGTCAGTCACTGAATAAACATGATATTTCCATAAAGCAATTGACAAATGAATGAAACAATTTGCAAAGTTTCCAAACGGGTGTCACTGTGTAGTGGACGTGCATTGTGTGCGACCCACCCATGAGTTTCTGCTTTGTCACTGAATTG